CTGTACCTAAAGGTAAGACTTATTATAGGCTTACTTGTAGGTATAACTTTAAACATGGGAATTTACTACCACTTTAAGCAGATCCAAGACTGGACAAGGGGACCTGGCTGGTTTTAGTGATGAACTAACATTTGCTTGCAGAATGGCCTGATCTGTGCAGAATTCAGGGAATTCAGAGTTGCAGATTGCATGATTTTTATTTTTTTGTGCATAATTTGTGAATTGAGTTGTCCAGGTCTCATACATAGGACAATGATAATCTAACAGATACCCAAAATATTTTTAATTATTTCTATCAGAAAAAAACCCTTCTTGGCAGCTTCTTCAGTTGCATTACATTGGGACTGGTTTTCCATAATATTGGCTGTTCGATAACTTAGTTTAGCGAATGTGGTTAACTGTGCTGACTTTTGCAATCAAAACGGGTGTAAGAAAAAAATCATTTTTTTAAAAGAATACATGATATTACACATTGTACAGCTGCCAATGCAATGAATGGCTGTATGTGGCCATGCTTATGTAATCACTGGTGGCTTCTGCATTTGTGTACAGCGTATTCCTGCAAAGGTACCAGTAGCTCACCAGGGTATGGGAAAACAATGGGGATTTTTCACTTGTGCACATGTGTTATGTTGTGTGTGTGAATGCACAGTTGCAGCCATTGGCTGCAAACGCTGGTTGGATGCTGGTTTTTCAGCATGTCTTTTCGACAAAAAAAAACAGTCGTTAGACTGGTTTCTGTCGAGCAGTCTGCTGTGCACACTGACTGAAGCTCGCCCGATGCCTGCTGAATCAGCCGATTTTCAGACAGTGTATACAGATTATAGCTTGTGAGATGGGGGGAGAGCCATGTGTATTCATTTCTTAGCCAAGAACATATTGAGCCTAATTTCAGACCAGAGGCTATAAGTACATTATTTTCTTTGGTCATATATGTCTTGTTTTAATGACATAAGATTTTTTAAAAAATGTATTTACAATTTTACTTTGTTACTAAATAAAAAAAGTTTTTTGTTTTTTTTTATAAGATTTAATCAGTCAGGTATTGGAAAGGATGGAGGATAGCTGGCTGCACTTGCCATTGCACCTAACCTTTTTAGTAATTTTTGCCTACGTATCTCCAACTTTTTACTAATTTTGTAATTTTTTCAAAATTACTTTTAGCATTTTACTTTTTATGTTTGTTGGTTTCACAACTGAGAGTGTTCATTAGTTATAAACGTTAAAAAAAACTGTATTAAAAAATATATATTTTACATAGTGGTGACAATGCGGTTGCTTTCTGTACCATTCAACTATAAAACAATAATAATATAATACACACATTTTCACTTGATTTATCTACATTCATCTTCTGTAGAAATCCTGAGGCTTTCAAGAACACAAGTCACTTTTACACAGTAGCGGCAACCATTTTTTGTGCTAAACCAATGTTCATGATAAACAGCATATAAATACATGGAGCAGGTGACACCTCTAAAGAATGAAAATGTGTACGACTAACAGAGCACCTCAATTATGTGGCTGGTTATCAGTTTTGAATTTTTATATTCATTGTTTTTTTTTTCCTTGTCAGCAGACCCAATGTAAAACCCAACAGATCAAGCTCCACCTCCACCACGGAGCACAGACCGCTGTACCATAACCCCACCAGTTTTAGGCAAAGCCTCACCCGTGGTCCTAGGAACAAAAGGGTATCATTGGTTTTCCTTGGCTGTTTGTCAATATGGGCATTATTTCCAAAAGAAAACAAACTGTTTATACCTTAAATTATTAGTTTAGCCCATAAAATGAATGTCTTCATTGTGCATAAATAACTGTGAACTTTAAAGGAGAACTCCAGACCCCCAACAAATGCAGTGATAATGATAAGTCTACTAGAAGTCTATTTAACGGTCTCAGCCCAGACACAATGCGCAGTGAAGGCATCACACTACCCTGATGGCTTATCCATCCAACAGAATAAAAGGGGCAAATTTAGCTGCTATTGAATGACACTTCATGGTGTCAACTAAAAAAAAAACACGATTAACTAGCAATAAGGCTGGACATACATGTATAGATTTTTCTCTTTCTGCCCATGAACTGAACAAGAGAAATTTTATAGATTCCTCCATTTACGTAGCTGGATGAATCTTCGCTGCTAGCTATTGTATTCAAGCAAACCACAACACCTATAGCAGTTTGAAAACCTGAAAAGTGGCTTCTCTGATTTTTCATTCAAAATTTGTCATCACCCAGAACTCCTCAGCAGGAACTGGCTGAACCTAGTTGAGTGAATGGTCAGCTGTAGTGAACTGTGTGAATTACAGAGTATGTGAGCATCCACTAGCTTGATGAACAATGTTACCAATGTATCAGAAGACACACAACCACAAAGCAGCTGATTGTAAATCATCACAATGACTGTGAACCTTTCAATAAAATTGATCTATATTACATTAAAAATAAATATCAAGCATGGTTCAATGAACACTATTCTTTACCAACAATGCCTGAAAATGTTGGTCTTGACTGATGTTCTGATGTTAAAGCAAACCTGCTATGAGAAAAATACTATGGCTACCGCTGGTCTCCTTTTTAAAAAGCTAATTGCCTATCTGTTATGGTGACCTCCTGGATCCAGTTACCCTTAGTCACTGAGTGGAAGGCTTAAGCTGGCCATAGATGGTTGGAATCTCAACCAGTTCAGCAGGGAACTGCCAGGATTCGAACCATCTATGGGCAGGCTAATTGTACCCAATTCGATTGTTGTACTCCTTGGGTACAACCAGCTTATTGGATTTTTCATGAGAATATTGCCAGAGGCTATAGCCGCTAGCAATAATCTCTGTATTCTCTCACAAGGGATGGCTCCCCCATGACCCCCACTGGGAGAACACAATATCTCGGCGGAGAGGGAAATGTATAGTCTATGGCCTGCCTTAGGAAAGCCAGCCTGAAGTCAAAACTCCTTATCTGCACACTTGTTACAGGTAAATGAGACAAAGAGGCTAAATTACCAAAGAAATAAATTGTGTGAAAATTCATTTTAATTATTCAATCATTAAAAAAGCAAATATAAGTATACTTTTGCCTACAAATGATTGGATAACTGAAGTGAATATATTGTATGAACAGTCTCAGCTCAGCCTCAAAAGTATTAAAGCCAGGGGGTCAGCTAGACAGTCAGGGAACTGGAATCTTCCAAAGGAATGGTCAGCAATAGCAGTTTCTACTTTTCATTTAAGTTCGATTGCATGTCTTTTTAAACAATCTTCATAGCAAAAATGTATTATATCTCATTTTGAATTTCATTTGAATCCTTCAAATTTAAGTGTATGTAAAGGCAAAATATTTTTTTTTAGTTTGGAGGATGGAAGAATTAAATCCCATTTAAAGCATTTCTAAACCCAAAACCAAAAATGTAATACAATGCAGCTTTATATTCCTTAGATGAGGTGGCTGCATTAGTTTCCTTCTTTTTTTTTTTTTCAAGCTTGTTATCCTTGATTTGCACCTGGTGATGCAGCCAGTAACACATTTCCTGTCCTACAGTGACAACACCCACTCACTTATCTGTATAAGGACACCGGAAAGAGAACAGAGCTAAAAAATTCACTGATATACTTTACACTTTAGCTTTTTTTCTGTATTTGTCCCGGCTGGGGAGATGTGCCTCTCTATTTGTCCTGGAAACCATTTTCACACAGACAGAACTTGATGGGAAATCCAAGAATTCATAGTTGACAAGATGTGAAGGTAACTCGTATGGGGACAAATGTTTTGATGTGTAAAGAGGGAAATTACCCTTAGTTTGGTTGGATATCGTCACATTGCCTGTTGTGTCTCCAGGGTGAGAAGTGAAGGACCCCCCCCCCCCCCCCAAGTGTGACACAGACAGCAAAAAGAATAACCTTTTAGGGGTTTTAAATCTTCCTTACTCTATCCGAAACTTTAAAAAGGTTTGGTTATACATACACTCTAAGGATTTGTTGTTTGTTAGGCCTACATGAAGCATAAGCCTAAAGCTTGTGTGATTGCACTGTCTTTACGTCTGATTGTCTGCATGATTGTCTATGATAAATATACATTGTATGCACCATAATTATTACACATTAAAAAATACAACCTGCTATAGCAGAAAATACTAAAGGTGTGTTTAAGAAAGGAGTAATTTTTCCATTGACCCATTGCATCCAGTTGGTTTTGGAGTAAACGTTTTGGGAAGTACTATGGTCTTGCATTTCTTGGACCTGTGTTTGAATACCACAAAGAATTCTGTCTGCATGGGGTGTGTATTGTCTACCCATGTTTGCATGGATTTCTGCTAGTGCTTCAGTCCCCACCCAAATATGTTCTTATGTGTTTTTCTGTGGCCCATCAAACTAACGCTTGGCTGCATGCATATGATTTCACATTATGCTGATTGGGTGTTTGAAACCAACACTGTTTCACTGGACCAGATCAAAAATTACTTCTTTGGAAAATCACATCCTTCACCTAGTTTTTGCTGAAACTGGATATTCAAGTCCAGCAAAAAGTGGCTTAAAGGGTGTCTTTACAAAGAACTCTTAAGTTAGAAACCTCAAATGAAAGCTACTTTTTTTTATAACTCCCATGTTCTATGCTACTTCCAGGACATGTCATCACTCAAAGTGACATTGAATAGATCCAGGTTCGTTCCATTGGCGCTGGTGTATGTGAGAATGCTTTAAACAGGGGATTTCCACATAGGTATCCTCATTTGTGACATATTCCCTTTAATGGCTCAGGCATGTTAATTAAAAATATATTCCCACTCCAACCCGGAAAAAAAAAAGGTCTATGCACATTCGTAAAAACCTTTTGTCACTTTTTGTTTCACCATGCATTTTACAATAAAGCTATTTGAAGTCTCTTTTCGTTCTAACAGTCTCTGTGTCCCTGTAAAATGCATTGTTTCCTGTAGTTCTCATTTAGCCTCCAAGCAGAGACCTGAAAAAAAGTCCTCATTTTTAGTCCATTAAATAAGACTCAGCTTAAACAGTCACTGCTGGGTACATCATCTGTTCAGGATTGGTGTGAGGAGGGTATGGTGACTGCATTGGTCTGTAGCCACCTTGGAGTCCGTCCATAAAAGGGGGAACAGGTGTCATAGGGACAGAGTCATGAGGTACAGCATAGCCAACAAACTGGGGGTGAAGGTATTGTCCTTGGTGAGGGACAAGCTGTGTGGCTTGTTGACAGTTCAACACTGAGTAGTTGGTGGGCATATTTACATAGACGTTATTCATGGCTCCTTCTGGCAAGCAGCAGTTGGTTTGTGATCTAGTGGGAGGTGCCCTGGCACCAGAGTTGGCACTGGAGCTAGAACTGGTGGCTGTACTTGACTGGCGGGAAGAAGAGCCACGTGAAGTGCTGGCACTTGAAATCATCGGGATTGTCTCCATGAGCCGATTCCCACCTGGTGCTCGGCTTTGCTGGGGCTCCTGCTTAGGTCGTAGACAGCGGCAACAACACACGGCTACTAGAGACCCCAGTATGATGAAGGCAACAAAGACGGATCCAACAATTAGAAATGGTACATAGATGGGCACTGCAAGAATAAAAGAAAAAATCCAGAGTTATTACTGAGAAATCATGTTTTTACTTTAACCATTTAGCAAACAGATTTTTGTGTTAACCAGCCGACCATTGAAATGCTATCGATCACTGTGTTTTGTGCTTTTAGGAATGTATAATGTCCAGTTTGACATTAAAAAACACACATATTGGTATCCACCTCCAAAATAATGGATAGAAATAGATAAAACACCAGAGCGAGGAACAATTTTACATAAGAAGTACTGTGTGCTAAATATGTCACAACATAAGGTTTGGTATCAGATTTGGTACCAAATATTAAAGTACAACGCCATGTTTATAATAAATACATAAATAAAATCCAGTGGCTTAGCATGTTAAAAAATAAAAAAATTTTTGTCTGCACCACTCAACTTCATTCCAGGGCCGTCTCCTGAATACTCAAGGCTCCCTAATACAGCATGACTGTCATTCAGCCCACTTCCTGTGAACCCTGGGAGCGTGTCAACATGCCTGGCATTACAGGACTCATGAACAGCATGGTAATCACATGTCAATCACATGTCATCACATGAGTGCAGTTCAATCCATAAGGAAGGTCCATCCACCGTCACTGCTGGCGGAGAAGAGAAAGGGCCTATGATGTCAGCAGACTGGCCAGGAGACTGCCAATATTTTCAGAAGGCATCGATCACAGTAGACCTATTGCGCTAGTGGATTTTACTTATTGGACTTTTCTTACTCCATCTCAAGTATCCATTCATGTCCAAGGGACTGCTGAACAACATCTGCACTGCCATGACCTTGATGTATTTTTTATATATATTTTAGATATCTCTGCATCCCCCTCTGGTGTCATTTGGGAGGTCCATGTGGTTTCTGGTGTGTTCCCTAGGCGGGGTTTGGGTGAACATTAGCCCCACTTAACAAGCACTCTGTGTACAATTCATGTATATACCTTTGTATGTAAGTAAGCACCTATGGCCTATTTTTTGCATATGTGTACTCTTTTACATCTGAGCAATATATGCATTTTTTATATTGTATATTCTAGACATTCCCATATTCAAACTTCTTTCCCTGAAGAAGGATATTTTTCCGAAACATGTTGGGAGTTATTTGGAGTTTTCACCCATACTGATCTCGTCATACCATCCCAAGCATCAATTGGGTAGAACTTAATAGAATGGGTTATATGCATCAATGTATTATACTGTATATGTGTATCAATATTGTGTAACAAGTCATGTGGCTATTTTATAATTGGAGATATACAGTCTCCCACAATTTTATGTTTTTGTACAATAAAAATACAAAAGAAAAAAAAAATTGGCACGTTGCCATTTAGATTAATCTTATGTGTGGTTCTGCCTTAAAAGTCCCAGGGGGGGGGGGGGGGCATGTCCAAGATGGCGACCGGAGCGGCCGCATAATCCGGAGCTCCGGCGCCGTATTCCGGAATCCGCTGCCATCCGTGCAGCAGCGGATCACAGTGGAGCAGCGGAGGGCCCTGGTATCAGGCATCCTGTCCATTATGATCTCCCACAGTGATTTGGGGGTGTGGGCCTCACAAAGAAAAAACCCCAGAGTCCCCATCTCCCTTCTCTATCTGTGGCCCTTGCTGTCAGAGGCCTATACTGCCCCGGGGGTGTGTCTCCCTGCGGGGCCCTGAGCTCAGAATCGGAGGTCCTATGTTTTTCCTGCTTCCCACCCATCCCTCTTGTGTCCTGAGCTGGGATCCTGGCGCTATCATCCTGCCCCGGAGTGAATGTTTTTGCTAGGTTGCTGTTTATGTTCTATCTACCCTCTTCAAGGCTTGCCGACACTATTATTTTTACAATATAATGTTATTGCAGATGTTTGACAGCATCCATGTAACTACAACCCTGAACCTATATTGGCGCTATAGGTCCCCTGGGGTTATCTAATCTCCATTCACTTTCCAATTTTCAGTTGATCAACGACCCCGGGAGTTTCTTTTGTATGCCGTCCTGGGGACAAGCTCAGACAGTACCCTCACGAATACTCCTTAAGGCTCACGAGATTTGCAGCATGTCTCCAGTCAATGCAAGAGCAAGCATCCCTGTCTGATCCCGCAATACCACCGTTCCCTTATCGGCCTTGGTTCAGCGAAAATACACAGCAACCTCACAAAAGGGGACTTGGAGTCTTGCTTGGAATCTATTACGCCAAACTAGCCGCCAAATTTCAATCAGATTGCATCAAAAGCACTAATGTTCTACTCACAGGAAATAGCCACGCTGGGCTCTCTAGGACAGTACATAACCGCTTGCGAAAGCCAAAACATGATGAACTCTAGCCTGGCCTATGGTGAACTTTCCAGAGAGCATGATCATTTACAAACGGCCTTTTCACAACTGCAGGCGCAGGTTGAGAGATCTTGATATAATCGCAATCGCAGGAATAATCAGCGAATCAGGGGAATCTCCGGAGTCTCATGTCGGATCTTTCATTAATTGATAATCACGTTATTCAAGTCACACCTTCCAGATCGTGACCCTGGATCTTTTGCTTGTGACCGTATTCCACAGAGCCCTACGCCTAAACCTCCTGCTGCGACAAGCCCGCCCTAGGGATATTGTCTTGTGCATGAAGGATTTTCTGACCAAGGAAGAGAAATACTCAGAGCTGCTCGCAATAACTCCAACAGATCTCCTTTTGAGGGCTTCGGTTTTTACATCTATCTATGATGTTTACCCCCGGCCATAACGTTGGAGAGGCGTAAGACAAAATGAAAGAAAAGTTACAACTGCCCTGATTTCTCTGCTCGTGCATCCGCTACAAGTGGGGCTTCCCTTTTTAAGCTGATAGTTCCACATAATGGGAGCACATATATCGCATCCCCTCCCGAAGGTAGTAGCAATCTTGGCCAAATAGGCTTGGACGGATGCCCCGTCCTCCTCAACGCCCACCCTCCACCCCTCGTATCTCATCCCATATTGGCATACGACCCCTTCCCCACGGAGGGATAGAAGGAGAGTCAGACAAGAACCGGGTTGACAGGCCCATTCTCATTTGCTAATACTCATTGTCTTGATAGTCTTTGGTCGTGATCTATAGTTTTTTATGACTTTACTAAGATTTGGGACACAGGGATTTTGCTCTCTATTTCTTACATTGTTCAGGTTGTATATTTCTGTGGTTGCTGCTGTGATATTTTTGCAATACTGAATATTTTGTGTGCCTTGCATTGATAAACTGGACGAGTTAAGGTATGACATTGACCCTCCTAATTGGTGGAAGGAATTCATTTGATACTACTCTTTGACACGTTACCCCACCCTGCCTCCCTGACCCCCTGGGCCAGGCCGGAGGTGTCGCGCGCGCCCCGAGCCTATCGCTTTGCCGGGTGGCAGCTTCTGTTTTCCATGTTCTAAGGACAGACAGGGTTTGGGCCCCATGTGGCCCCTTAATGTTTGACCTTTTTGTTCTTAATCAGGGTATGACGACTTTTCTGCCTGATCCATGTTCTTAGTTTCCCTTTCAAATATAGAAGATATTAAGCTTTTTCTCCATTGTTATTTCGTTTCTCTTCCTCGAGCAAAACTTTATGAAGTGTATGAGGGATGGGTCTGGTACCTGTGGACATCACGACCCTATGTTGTCTGGAGGTCCCCTGAGGCTGGATCTGCCACCTGTATGTCTGTCTGATGCGGACCTGCGGGTTTCTATGTCTACAATCAAAAAACTTTTAGGGGATATCTTTGTAATGTGTACTTTATGAATGATAGCTGGCAAGCTCTGTTTATTATGGCAATTCAATGTATTTCGCATAATGTCCAGGGTTTCAATTAATAAGCGCAAAAACGGCTTTCATTTCAATATAAAAGAGATTAGGAGGCAACAAAATCGATGTCTTATAGTAACAGGAAACACATTTTTGCAGCCCAGCAAAAACCCAGTATAAGGGGTATTATACCCTACATTCCTCCAAGAGTAGGTGGAGTGGCTCCATTTTTTCACAATAACTCATTTCCCTTTGAGGTTCAAACATTGTGTATCGTGATCCAGGACAGTAAGGATTTATTATTCTAAGGGGGGGCCGGGCCACCCAAACCCGTTTCAGGTTTTAAATTTTGTATAAATGTCGTTATGATTTCGGGCACAAGCTACTTTTTTTTTTTAAATTTTTGAGGTTGTGCACTGGATAATTTTTGTCCACCCCATCTTATTAGGTGGGTGGGGATTTTAATCTTAGAGTGGCAAATCCTCTTCTGGACCAGTTCCTGCCTCGGCACACATTCCCAAGCTTTACCCAAAATCCTTACTTTGCCCTCCCAGTTGTGTGGATGCTTGAGAGCGCACAACACGGGAGCCAGGGATTACATTATTTCCACCCACTCATGACTCATTATGCTAGACTAGGACTATATCTTTTGGTACACTGCTAGCGAATTAGCTAGGAGTATTCATTTTTCGGCATCACTAGTATTATGGCTTGTATTATCATCACGAGTATGTTGGGGATTGGGCACCTACTCCCTTTTTCATGGAGACTTAATGATTCTTGCTCACTGATACTGACTCTCGGTCCGAGGATGGTGGTTACATCTCTTAAGGCAATCTAATTCAACCCCTGACTTATTGTTCCCAGCCACACTCTGGCCCTGGTAGCCCACAAGGCGGTTCCTAGCCGGGGCCGACTTATCTCTAATAGAAATAAAAAACGTTGGCAGCAGTTACTACTTTTAACCTCGAGATGAGAATTAGAAGCACACTATAGAAGCCATGTAGCTGATCCATAACTCATCTTTAGTGCTCTCAATAAACAGCTAATGTCCCAAAAGCTGCTTGGAATTGTTGAATAGCCTACTTTCCCAAAAAACTGAAAAGGCCCTGAACCCTG